AACCGTCTCTTCCTAATATGAAGTGAAAATAATTCGTGTCTTTTGTCTTGAAGTTCTCTCTTTCGTCTCCAGCCCTTGAAGATCTTCTTGAAGAATTTACCAACCTTAAGAACACAAAAAGAAAAAATCATTTCTAATTGCGGGCTCAACTGTAATTACAGCTATGAATAGAAAAATTCCAATGTTCTATTTTTAGTACCATTATGTCATCGATAATAAAAAGGKCAGAGGCAAGGAATTGATTAAACTCCAGCTTATCTATAATACATATATGACTCACYGGTGCAAGGGCCTTGCCAATCTTCTTAACAGTCTTAGAAACCCATTGACCTGTCGATTGGAAAGAAAAAACGTTGCAACTACTGTAACCGGGGCCACTTCCACCAGTTAGACAAGAGAACCAATAAAAATTAAGAATGAAAACAATACATTCCAACTTTGGGTAGTTGAGCCAATCAGACACCTAGAATGCACGATAGTTGTAATTTGTATTRCAATTTGTGATGATTGGTTCTCGCTGTCTAGGTTGTCCCAGTTATAGTAGTGACACTGTAGCGTTTACAACACTCAACCCTCATGAAGGATTCTGGTATTCAACTTCTTCTACTTCGTGCAATTACCGYTGTGTTCCTTGATCACAGACTCATTTAGACTGGKTTAGCYTCACTTCAGTCTCAACGTCAAACTATTGACAAATACCGACGGTAAAGTAAAGAATGTACAATTTACAAAAATACGAACATTTTGAAATTCCAGGGACATTCACTGGCACATTAACTCGAACTCTAAACTGGAGAATTGACCTTATTCGTGGTGTGACAATGTTTTCCCAATTCAGCATGACAAACCTCTGGGGGAATGAAGAGCTATTGTTTTGAAACTCGTCGGGATATCATCGTTATTCCTTTCGTATCCTTTGGGATACTCATGRATTTTTCGAAGAGTAAAAACAAAAGAAAATGAATCCCCTGGAGGTTTGTCACGCTGAATTGGGAAAACATTGTCACGCCACGAATAAGGTCTATTACTGGTATTAAGACGTAAAGAGTGTGATGAAGAATTACCTGCAGCATTGACGACTCCTCCAACCCATTTACCGAACTTGTCCAGAGCYCCCTTACAATTCCTCTCCGCCTGTTTACACTTCAAGTTTCTACAYTTATCGCACTTGAGTGACATCTTTCGTTTGCATTCGGCTTTCTTTTCGATCACGTGTTGACGTGCCTCGCTCAGTTTCTTTTGTGCCGCCTTGAAGGCCTGGTCAACTGCTTTTGCAGCAGCATCCAGTGCCTAGCATAGAACCATGAAATAAAGCAAAACGTCCTTACTCCATTCAGTATTACAAAATAGATATTTTAAATATGTCTTTGGAGTACAAATTTAAACGCGTTAGCCTTACAGCATCAAGTGCCTAGCATAGAACCATCAAATAAAGCGAAACGTCCTCACTCCATTCAGTATTACAAAATAGATATCTGAAATATGTCTTTGGAGCGCAAATTTAAACGCGTTAGCCTTACCGCATTGAGTCCACTGAGATCAACTTGTACTCTGACGTAAAACTTGGAGCCATCAAAAGAGAATCTTAGTCCATATTCTGCAGCGACGAAAACTTCTGCTTTAATTAAGTTCAAGAAGTTTCCTTGGACGAGAAGCTCCATATGAGTCATGGTCATGTTCAGACGAGTGTAAACACTGATGGAAAAGATTTCTATGTAGCCCTCGATGTAAGCCTTGGGAGAGATAAAAAATCACTTTTAATGTAATAAATTCATGAAAAATTATCAGGGAGCATGTTGCTGCATGTGATGCCTCTCTGGTCACTGTAACACTACGGTCAAAAATTGCGATCGATCCTCGGCTTCACTATCATATGTTAATGGAGTTGCTTGTTGGTGCTCTCTTGTCCTTCGAGGTTTTGCATGGAGATCTCCGTTTTACATTCCTCCACAAAAATTAAAAATTCCCATTTGATCAGAATGAATGCCACATAGGGTTCGTGCTGAGGTAAGCACTTAGTGCTCTCTTGTCCTTCGAGGTTTTGCATGGAGATCTCCGTTTTACATTCCTCCACAAAAATTAAAAATTCCCATTTGATCAGAATGAATGCCACATAGGGTTCGTGCTGAGGTAGCCACTTAAAATTCAAGGACTATCCAAGGAGTGTACAAGGACCCAAAAATGAATTTTCAAGGAGTATGTTCAGCTAAATATGCCAAGGTTTTACACGGTGGTTGCACATGGCCGACTTTCAGATTTTCCAATCTTTCTGACTAGATCTATTTCAGAACCATGCAAGTAATGATCAAAGCAAAAATTCAAGGAGTTTTCAAGGAGTTTAAGGAGTAGCACGAACCCTGGCCACAGATTTGTTTGTAGGCATTGGATATTAAGTGCTGCCCTGATAAAGTATGGACAAACAATAAAACAAAATAGTTGAGATAAAATAAAACAAATGGGTATTTGCAAAGACAAAAAAAAAAATAAAAGATGTATAAAGATGATGTAAAGTAATCATGGWTGGATAGCGACGATACTTACATCCCAATATATAGGATCTTTTCTCATGTGGATAAAGAATTTGGGACCAACATCAAGCTTTGAAGGACTACGAACGAGTTTTGCAATGGAACCGATTTTAACTGGGTCTGGTTGAATGTCAATGTAAATAACCTGAAAAAGACAAGAAATAAAGCCGTCTAAGTCGGTACTTTAATAATGGCGGGGAAAATGGTCGGGAAGCCATTTCAGTGTTCCCGTACAGAGTACGATTCACRGGTCATACGATAACCTCTTGTTATGGGAAGCCAATTCATTGTTAAAGCAGTTTTTTTGTAGGACAGTGAAAAGCTCGGTGCTGTATGCGTGCCTTGTAACGACCGTGATTTAGCCTGACCGTGATTTGGCTTGTCCGTGTCCTCKCCAATTTTGTGCTGTGTTTCGTGCATTTGATTATGGAGAGTAAATTCTCGTGCAATATTGTTGAGCTGGCGTATCGCTTGCCGTGCGGAGACCGTGTTCGTGCCGTGAGCTTTTCACAGTCATACAAAGCTGCTCTATTAGTCTATGGAATATMGAACCCYGTACGTCAGCAACGCGTAGGTTTTTCACTCACGCGATAACCATTCTTATGAGAAGCCATTTCAATGTTACGGCATGTACGTGCCCCATTTATACGATAACCATTCTCATTTAAAGCCATTTCAATGTTATGGCATGTCGYGCCGTGTACGAATTGTAAATCAGTATCGTACGTGCCCCATGTATGCGCTAACCATTCTCATGGGAAGCCATTTCAATGTTGCGGCATGTCGTATCGTGTACGTGCCGAAGAACTTACAGTGTCTGATATCTGTAAGTCAGCAAAAATACTCCATCCAAAGATGTTGAGTCGTCCCTTTAAGGTAAACCCTTTCAGTATATATGGACCACCTGCCACCCTCAGGTCTACAGCTTCTGTAGCATAGGCAGCCTGGAATAACACGAAGAACAAGTAGAAGTGAAAAAAAGGTTATGACGATAATAAGGAATATGATAATRAAAAAAGAAAAAAGAAAAGAAAAGAAAGAAAAAAATGCAAAGATGGAACCAAAGAAAGTGGCTGGAAGCATGTGAAATATCAAAGCAAAAGAACATTATTTCTAATAGAGACAGCGGCAGAATTCTKCCAGCAAATTACATAAATCTTTTGTAATTTTCAATGCTCGTGCTTTCGGGTTTGTGCGTGCGATTCTATTGCTTGCGCATATATASTAAGTTTGATCTTGTAGTTTTGTTGATATTGTAACTTATCATATGACCCGTATCTGCCCGGGCGCGCGCTCTTAAAAAAACCTTCAGGAAAATGGCGTGGGCAGGGCCGTACGAATCCGTTCGGCCCTGCTCGAAACCTGCGACCGTATTTTCTTTTTTTTTTTCTTTTATTATTTATCTTTTCGTGAGTGTCATATGATAAAAATGCTTATTGACTGAGTTAGGTTGGCCCGTACGGCCCTCCCACTCAGTCAATAAGTACATAGTATTTTAGTTCCTCTGAGGATGACCGTGTCGGTCGAAAGCTAAGGGAAATATTAAATTATTTTAAGTTTGATGAATCAACCTTATTTTTATAATGATACAAGGTAATGTATGATGATGATGATGAGAAGGAGGAGGACATAATGATTATGGCAATAATAATAATAATAATAATAATAATATTCATGATAATAATAATAATATTTTATCTGGCAGCTTTTGCTGATGTGGACCTGTGGTACTTGATGATAATAATGATTATAGTATTAGATGATGATGATGATTGTTATACCTAATGATGATGATAATAATGATATATGATGATGATACTTGATGATGATGGTGCTCCATGATGATTAGAAGGAGGAGGATGATTATGAYGGCGGTCATGATGATGATAGATGTAAGCTTAATCTCATCGAAATGGTTCTTCTTACCTTTGCCCCTTCTGGAAAACCAGTAACATCGATGGGTTCAGGAAGCTTGATGTTTCTTGAAATCATTCGACAAATCTTTCCTATTGTCAATGCAGTTATATCACCATAATAGAACTGTGGGCTGCCGATGCCAAAGTAACCCGCTCCTCCAAAACAGTGGCCCTATATGGAATGAAGAAGATGTTATTCAGTCTCATACAGGCAAACATTGCCAACATAAAATGAAATTGTAACGAAGCTGTATGGTCATTGTTAATCACCGAGGAGGGGGTGGAAGATCAACTGATTCCCCCACCAGGGAGGGGGTGGAAGGGGGGAGTTGAAGGAAGGTCTGAAACATAATACAGATCAACTGATTCCCCCACCAGGGAAGGGGTGGAAGGGGGGGAGTTGAAGGAAGGTCTGAGACAATACAGATCAACTGATTCCCCCACCAGGGAAGGGGTGGAAGGGGGGGTGGGGGTTGAAGGAAGGTCTGAGATATAATACAGATCAACTGATTCCCCCACCAGGGAAGGGGTGGAAGGAGGGAGTTGAAGGAAGGTCTGAGACATAACACAGATCAACTGATTCCCACACGAGGCAATATCTTTTTATAATCCCCTCTCAATAGTGTTTGCTACTTTCTCATTTTTGATATAATCTGTTAATAAATACCAGCTCTGTTGACCGCATTCCCTGAAAGGAACTATGGGTCAACTATTTTTGGTTGACATTTTGGGAGCAGGGACCGAATATAATGTAGATTTCTTTTGTCAATTCAAAAGAAATTCAGCCTAATGAGTTCAACTAGCATTTATGATTAACTTAAAGAAAGGAGAATTCATATTTCATGGGTTTTCTTGGCAGAAACATGGAAAAATGCTAATCAAAATAGAGTGTCAAATCCTCAATTCTGATTGGTTGACCTTGAGTTCGTTCTGAAGGTCAACTCAGCTGGTAAATAGTGTATCTCCCCTTCAGCTATCTAAAAACCATGTAGTATCCCTCATTTCTACGAACTCTTATCCGGCAAGMCGTCATTATAGACCATCTGCATGTGACGTCAAAGAGGTTTAATTTGGAGGACAAAACAACATAATTTTAATCTCCTGAGAATTGGAAATCTATTGTCATGTCCTCCATATTGAGCTGCATTCTSACATACTTCAAGGGGTCTATTGAGCAGATCAATTGTTTATAATTTATATTACTTACATCTACTTTGAAGTCAGCAGGAAGCAAACAGTCGTACCCAAACTCTGCTCTCATTCCAAACTTTATTCCAGTGATAGGTATTGGCGCCCCTACTTTATACGCCAGCCTGAAGAAAATATTTAAATATTAATGAAATTCTCAGAATGTGTAAAAGTTTTTTTTTTTTTTTTTGCATACTCAATAGTCCAAAGATTTTCCCGCCGAAATTGTCGTTCGCGTAATTATTTTATAAGCTTACCTTCTTTGGAAGTGAACGCAAATTTCTTTTTGGTGATTTTTCCGTCATTTAAAGCTTTGAAATGTCGAAAATATGAATAAAAATGTGCAGATATTATAGCACAGAAACACTTGAAATCGTCCACCATCTTGAATTTTGCTCAGGACCTGGCCTTTGACAAAGGAAGCCCAAAACGTTTAAAAGCACACAACGACCAGCGCGATCGACCGGCTCCTTACGACTATCTTCCTTCGACCAGCTTCCTTCGGAACGATGTTTTTATGTCATACAGTTTCTCTTAGAAAATGTTCCTCAGCAAAAAAATTATTGGAGCTATTTATAAATTGAAGTCAGATGATTGGGTTGGATTCGGACCTTCGGATTTTCCAAACTTCCGACCTTCCGACCTTCGGATGTTTTCAATCAACAATTGGGTTTGTATTGTTCTTTATTTTCACTCTCGAGATAAAACAAACTGTCTCACTTACCCAAACATGATATTTCCCAAGGACAACCATTTAATAAAGAAAGCTCTTCTCCACATTCCACGGAAATACAGCATCCCAGCCACCTGGTGTTTTTGAAAGTCGTATTCAATATTCCCGCCCAAAATCAAGTCATTTGACGGTGCAATGATCCCATCTCGGTATACTTCTCCGTTGACTGGGATTTTGACTTCGGCTGTGAAACCGAGGACGACGTGCCTGTCTGTTGAGTTCCAGTCGGCCTACGAATGGAAAGGAACCTAATTATTTTTCAGCATTTTCTCTTCATTTTGTTTCCCATTTCTTTCTAAAAAAATTTTTGAAGAAATAGAAAACGCACGGGCGTGCTGTGTGCAGTTGTAATGCACGCGAGGTTTGGCATAACACGAGAGAAGTGTTAGGAGAAGCACGACGCGCAGCGGAACTCAAACAAAGATATTTTTTTCGAGAGAATGACACGTGATTTTAAATGGGAACACATATCAAGCTCTACTCTATATGTTAGTGTCGAAGTTGGAGTAGAGAAAGCTCACTCCATATATGGTATGATCCATTCCATATTTGGATTGTGCGGAAAAGCGGCAAACAAAAAGGCAGTCGTTTTATAACGAATTCGACATGAACATTTTTGAAGAAGAAAAGAAAAGAAAAAAAGACAAGTAAAAAAAGAAAAACTTTGGAAAATCGAGGAAGGATAAGGGGACGATGCTAACTCGTGGGTCTGCCTCGCAGACAACAGACACAGGGAAATACGACACTCAATGTTTAATATGTGAAACATTATACCCAATCTAAGGAAGTCTAATAAAATACTCACTTTGACGTAAAGCTCGAGTTTGTTAAAGTAAAATCCCTCGCCAAGGTGAATGTTAGTAAAGCCAGCCTTTACAGTAACTTTCTTCCATTCAATCAACCCGTTTATGTAAGCCTTCGCAGTGGGGCCCACGATGTTCTTGGAGATCTCACAAAACTTGTTTCCCTTGCAATCCTTAGGCAGCACGAGTTGTGCACCTATAAAGAGACCCTGGGGTACAGATCTCGTGATTTGACTTTTTAAGGGTTCTTTAGAGAAGCCTGTTTCTTTATCGATCAAGACTGCTTGAAGTTTTGGAGGACTAAACGCTACGCCGATCTACAAGGAAAGGATAAAAAGGATGTAAAAAGCTTAAAAATCCCAGTTAAGGTGATAGGCCTTAGGAAAATCTCTGGCTTTCATTCAGCTTATAAAAGTCTTTGAATCTCATTATCTGCTTCAAATGCTGGCCACACACTGACCACCATGTGATGAACATTTAACATGCAACATGCAACATGCAACATGCAACATGCAACATGCAACAACTGCATTAAACCATAGCGGTATGAAGATATATAACAACCTACCTCAAATTCGATTCCAAGAGATTTTAAAAAATCAATATTCATATTCGATAGTTTTTCTGTAAGAGCTCCAAAAGACTCACGATCAAACGAAAACCCGACAGCAAATGCAAGTGAACGAAGCCTCAACGATCCTAGGATTTCCACGTGAACTGGAACGCCTCCTGCATTAATTGACGCAGTAAAACGATACGTAGCACCTTTGGCTAACTTGAATGCAAATTCTGCTGGAGCCATCGTAAACTCCCAGAGGCCAGCTTTCCTGTGAGCAAATGATAAAAAAAAAAAAARARATATATATCGTGTTATGTGTTCTGATGCTGGACTTAGCCTCCATTTGATATAAAATTTTGAAGTGCATTCTTTACTTTGTGAACATTTTGAAACTGAAATGAGACTAAACCCTGATGGAGAGAGGGGGTAAAGTGTGCACCGTCGGCTTCCATTGATAGCAGTTGAATTTCAACTGAAGGAACTACCGACGTTAAATATAGGTGCTTTACCTTTACCTTTTCTGAAATGAGTCTGCAGTCAAGGAACACAGCGGTAATTAACGACTTGGGAAAAGTTATTGCCAAAGTAAACGAAGACTAAGGCCCTGGCTAAACGAGGAAACATTTTTCCARAAACATGTTTTCTTCAATGTTTCCAAAGGTGGCAAWACTGKCAGGAAACATYKGGRAACATGTKTACTCAATATCGRTTAGCGYATGCGCACTTTCAAGTTAGAGCTAGCGTTGCTAAGTAACGAACTTTTAGAATGTTGACTTTCGTGGCTAAACGAGGAAACATTGGGAAGCATTGTTTCCAAGCGTCTTCGAAACATGAAATGTTTCTACCGCACAGCAGAAACATTTTTGCGTCTTGGAGTCAAAATTTGTTGCACGTAGCAATGTTTCGCATGTGGCTAAACTTGAAAACATTGGGGAACATGCGCGCGGGAAACATGTTTCTGGAAACTTGTTTCCTCGTTTAGCCAGGGCCTAACGTCTAAATTTGTGGGTCAAAATATGGTATGGTGTGAATTTTTAGAACGATAGAAGGAGTAATAGCTGAGATATAGATAATTTAATGCAATAAATRTCATCGTATTTTTAATCGTGTTTGATGCTGGATTTAATGTGAATTAAATCAATGCAAGATAAGTGACAGTAGATTTGCGAGGCTCAAATGCCCAATATTTGTATTTCTACTTTTGCAACAATCTAAAGTTCACAGAATTGTAGGCGCACAACCTTGTTTCCTTTTCAAATATTAAGATTTTCAAACTCAAATTGCGTGACGTCACACTTCGGTACTGTATGCTCGAATAGTTCTAGGGATAAAAACGATAACTTACTTCAAGCCATTTTTGAAAACATCGGGAACAGAACTGGACGATACTCCGAAAAAGCCCATGATTTGATGGAATTTGATCGAGGAGCTTTTACCGATGGCATAGGCGCTGCCTGTGTGAACGTCTTTCTTGACCTCTGTTTTAAAAGTGACCAGTGGAATTTTCTTGTAATTGCCCTTGGCTTTAAAGGTCATTGTATTTCCCTCGGTGTAATAAGAAAACCTTATAAAAGAAAGAATAAAGATTTTACAAATTGACATCAGATTTTGACGCACGACGCACGACGCACGACGCACGACGCACGATCAAAAGTTTAAATGCACTAAATTTTTACCTGACATCTCTCAGTGTGAATCCATTTATTGGCACATATTCATCTGCTGTAGCAATTTGGAACTCATATTTTTTCAGCTTTCTGTAGTAGTCCGAAGCAGCTTCGTCCAAAGTGACGGTCAACCCCGTGACATACTCATACATACCGGGTTTAGTCATGGCAGGAAGTGGGTCGGTTCTGTTGTAATATGTAGCTTTATTGTTGACCATTTTTAATATGTGAACTGGATCGATTATTTCTATGCAAACCTAAAGATACATGCAAAAACATGTTGACTTTGAATCAGTAAAGGAAATGAAATTCGAATTAGAAATGTTGAAATGTCAGACCACGTGTCATTCATAAATGAAAGATTATCATTTCGCTGTTAAATGGTTGTGCATGAGAAGACACATGAATATGGATACAACTTAAACAAAGAATCTTATTCTCAATGGAATGACATGTGGTCTGAAATGGGAAAACATTACGCCCAAGAGGTCGATGGACCAAATTCACTAGGGCATAAAGTTTTCCCATTTCATCTATGTCCATGGTTTTTTTTCATGCACCACTGTTGAACAAAGAAATGATTGTCAGTACCTTCGTGTACTTCTTCTTTGGGTCAGTCTTATCATCTTCTATCTTTACCCCGAACCATGCATTCTGCAATTCTGCTCTCATAAAACTAAAAAGGCTCGACACTAGAGCCGTTGGGATGCTTGCTGTAGTGGCACCTTTGGCCGTAAACTTCTCGTCTGTATCACATTCCAACTTGATATACGAATTTGGGTCAGTTGGTACCTTATCAGGGCGGTTTGGTATGTACACTGAAAATTTAGATTAAGAGGAAATGTTTTTCAATAACGAG